TCTTCCTGGCTCCTCTAGTCCTGGCATTCTAACCACTGCACCACCTAGCTGCCCCCCCTACTATGTAAATACTAGTTATTATTATTAATATTATTATTAAATTGAGGCTCAGAGAGATTAAGTGATTTTTCCCAAAATTACACAGCTAGTAAGTGTCTGAGAGAAGATTCAAACCCAAGCCTTCTTGACTCTCTGTCCTATTCTCTGTCTACTATGCCCTACCATGTTTATTGTTTAAAAGGAAAAGGATTTTCTCAGGGTCAGGAATCTAGGAAGTGGCTAAGTGAGACTAGACCCCAAATTATCTCACTATCAGTCCAGAGAGCTTTCTATGACACCACATTGTTGATAATAATAATAATAACTGAGATTTATATAGTGCTTTAAGGTTGCAAAGCACTAAGGTGAGAGTGACATTTTTCCTCTAGCCAGCACACCAAGGTTTACAGTAACTCTAAATACAAAATGCCTCATCAGTCCCTTTTTTTGAACCTGATTTCACTGAGGTTATCTAATCTTCAACCCATTCTGTTATCTGTCTTTTCCACACCATTTACCATCAACTCTGAATGGGGCTCACTGGCCTATTTGGTCTAATTATTCTAGCCTTGTTTCAATAAAACTGTGTGAAAAGATTGTGCCTTGGCTTAAAAACCATTTTGTTCTTTTGGGTAGAGGAAGAATCCTTAGTGACAGAGCTAAGATACAGGACTGACAATTTATATCTTAGTCCCTAATTTAAAAAATTTTTTTTTCTTTTGCCCAATTACATGTAAAAACAATTTTAACCATTTTTTTTTTACATTTTGTGTTCCAAAGTCTCTCCCACTTTCCTTACCCTCTCCCCTCATTGAGAAGGCAAGTAATTTGATAAAGGCTATATATGTGCAGTCATGCAAAACATATTTCCATATTAGTCATGTTGTAAAAGAAAACACAGACCAAAAAGAAAACAAAACACACCAAAAAAACCCAAAGCCAAGAAAAATAAAGTTAAATAAAAACCAGTATGGGAGAAGGAGAAAGGGAGAGGTAGAATGGGGTAAACTATCTCACATGAAACAGACAAGAAAAGGCTTTTACAGTGGAGGGGAAATGGGGGAAGGTGAGAGGGAATGAATGAATCTATTCTCATACGATTTGGCTTAAGGAGGGAATAACATACACAATTGAGTATGGAAATCTATCTTACCCTACAGAAAAATAAGGGGGGAAGAGGACAAGAGAGCAGGGGGATGATAGAGGGGATGGCAGATTGGGGGAGGGGGTAATCAGAAGCAAACACTTCTGAGGAGGGACAGGGTCAAAAGAGAGAATAGAATAAATGGGGGGTGGGATAGGAAGAAGGGAAATATACTTAGTTTTTCACAACATGACTACTATGGAAGTATTTTGCATAACTGCACATGAATAACCTGTATCAAGTTGCTTGCCTTTTCAATGAGGGTGGTGGGGAGGGAGGAAGGGAGAAAAATTGTAACCCAAAGTTTTAAAAACACATGTAAAAAAATTTTTTAAATTGTTTTCGCAAAACAAACAAACAAACCAAAAAAACCAAACAAACTGTGTTTTGATCTGCATTCAGATTCCGTCAGTTCTTTCTCCGGAGATGGATGTTATTTTTCATCATGCATCTTTCAAAATTGTCTTGGATCTTTGTATTGCTGAGAATAGCCAAGTTATTCATCGTTGATCATTGTACAATGTTGCTCTTACTGTGCACAATGTTCTCCTGGTTCTGCTCACTTTACTTTGCATCCATTCATATGTCTTTCCAGGTTTTTCTGAAATCAGCCTGCTTGTCATTTCTTGTAGCACAATAGTATCCCATTACATTCATATACTATAACTTGTTCAGTCATTCCCCAATTGATGGACATCCCCTCAATTGCCAATTCTTTGCTACCACAAAAAGAGCTGCTATAAATATTTTTGTACATATAGGTCCTTTTCCTTTTTTTTTTAATCTTTTTGGGCTACCAACCTAGTAGTAGTATTGCTGGGTCAAAGGGTATACATAGCTTTATAGACCTTAGTCCTGAATTTAAAGGCTGTCATATAAAGTTTGTGTCTTCGCTTGCAGCATGTGGGGTAGCAGAATTCTGCTTGATCTCTTTAGGCTATAGCTTTATAGGCAATTTAAGACTAATACCTTGGAAAGAGAAGTCTCAAAAGGAAGTGCACAGAAATTGGTAACAAAAAACTACCTGGGATGTTATAGAACATGCCTGTGGCAGAGATGGGAAGGGAACCTAGGGTGCAGAAAATCAGAGCTGGAAGGGCCCTTCAAGATTAATCTATCTGAAGCTTTTCTGGAGGCTCTGGGAAATGGTCTCATGTAATTTTGCGTATGTTAATTAGCCAAGTGAACTCCAAACTCCTTTTTCCTCATTTTACAGTCAGTTTCTAGAATCACAGGGTGTTAGAACTGGCCTTAGGAGTTCACTTAGTCCAACCCTCTCGTTATATAGATGAGGAGAATGAGACAGGGTCGGAGGAGGGGATGGCTAGCAGCAGAGTCAGGACTACGGTTCAGATGTCTAAACTTTCTACTCCTTTTCCTTCAGCTTCTGTAAAAGAGGACAGCAAGGACTGGTTAGGCCAAACATAGTTAACTGCTCTGAAGGAGGAACCCAGACATATTGATTGCCTGAGTGGTGGCAGGCATCCAAGTGTATTGTGAGGCTCCTAGGGGGCACCTTCCTGGGATCTTCTTTTCTGGGAATCAGAAATAAATTGAGATGAAATTTTGGCAGGATGTATGTTCCTTATGCAATACAGTGCTAGCTCATGTGGTAAATAATTGATGCTTCAGTATTGAAAAGCCCCATGGAATGGCATACTCAGATCAAAGATATTGACTTGGGAGCCCAGTTAAGTGCTCCTTTTGAAAGCATTAGCACTTAGGGGCTTGGGAAACTGTTTGTGTCTGGCTGGTTTAGCTGATGCCATGGATTGCAAGAAGCTCAGTAAGAGGAACTTCAGCAAAATGGTAACAGAAGGTTATTTGGAATCAAAGATCATGGAATGGAGGAGCTGGATGAGGCTTTAGACATCATCTAGTCTAACACCCTCTTACTTTGTTTTTTCAATAATTAAGCACTTTTTTTCTCCTGCCTCTCCAACCCCTCCCTCAAAGAAAAACAAAACCCTTTTAACAAATAAACAAACAACGAAAATTCTTCTATTGGCCATGTCCAAAAAGGTGTGTCTCATTCTGCTTGTTAATCCATCACATCTCTATTAGGAAATGATTCTTCATCATTAGCCCTCTGAAGTTATTCTAACCCTCACATTTTACAGATGGGCAAGTTGAGGCTCAGAGAGAGGACAAGGCTTGCCTAAAGTCATGCCATGAGTTAATGGCAGAGTCAGGTCTAGAATTTAACAGAAATAGTCTTATCAAAAGCCAGGAAATGACAACTCACTCCAAATTGTATCAGAATTGAATATGAGGAAATGAATATTCTCCATGGTCTCCCGAGAAAAAACACTCTGCCAAAGAGAAAACCACAGTAATTAGCTTCTATTAGTAGTTCTGGGCCAAGGACAAACCGTTTGTGATGTGAAAATGTAGTCCACAGAACTGTATACGAAATCATTTTGTTATGGCCTGGACAGAAAGCACAAGAGATGATGGTCAATTGTGTCTTCCTGCCTTTAGCTCGATAAATACATCCCAGTATGACCTTGTGGTTTGTCATTATATGAGCTAAAACCGTCTTCATGTTTACTACAAACCCAGTTTGGCTGAATCACTTTTTCTGCCTCAGTATATGGTATATTGAAATGTAAAACCAATCAGTCAGTTCCTGACATCATAGCCCTCTTCTGCTCAAAGACATCCGGTGTCTCCCTTTTGTCTAGAGGATAAAGTCTCTTCCCACTTTAATCCTGCCCCAATTTAGATAACCTGTCATTTCCTGGTCATCTAGCTGTCATGAGCCTGCTTTAGAACACCATTTTAATAGCTAATTTAATAGCTGCTGTTTTAATAGCTAATTTATTATTGCCTCTTGAGGTTTTGCAAAGCACTTTACGTGTGTAATCTTATTTGATCCTCACAACAACCCTGTGAAGCAGGTGCTATTCTTATCCCTATTCATAAATAAGGAAACTGAAACTGAAGGAGGGTAAGTGACTTGCCCTGTAAGTGACTGGTTGTCACACAACCAGTTAGCATCTGAGTCTGGATTTCAACTCAAGTCAAACACTATGCCACCCAGCTGCCTCATTTTCATGTTGTCACTTCATTGCTTAAAAACTTTTCAATGATTCTTCATTGCCTCTAGGATGGAGTCCAAAGTGCTTAGCTTGACATTCAAAGCTCTCTACAATTTTGTGACACCCTACCTTCCCAGGCTTAGTGCCATCTGTTCTTCCTACATATTTTGTGCCCCAGCCAAATGAGATTACTCTGTAACCCCCAGACAAGCTTTCCTGCCTCTTTGCTTATGCTAGGCCCTACATACCCTGAATGTCCTCTTCTTATTTTGCTGTTGAAATCCTTCCAAACTCTGCTAAAATGCCACCCCCTCAAGCCCTATTTCTCCCTCCCCCATTCTCTGCCCCAGCTGGAAATGATTCTTCTCCAATTTGCCCTCACATGGGTCACTGTGCCTCTCTGATGTGTTGAATTCTGTGTTGTGGCTATTTGCTTGTGCATTCTACTGGTGCAACACCATTAGCCTGGAAGCTTCTTAAAGGTAGGAAATATTTATTTTTGTATCTTCCTAGTTTAGTGCACAGAGCAGGTGCTAACAATTGCTCATTATGTTGAATTCCTGTCCCAAAACCATTTATTCACCGGGGGATTAGAGGCCTGTAAGAGTAATCCTCTTAAGTGAATATGAGAATGAGATTCAGGAAACTTGGAATTATCAAATACTTTGAATTGGCAGTTTGGCTTTCATAACCGGTGAACTTGGCTCATTTCAAAACAAGTTTTTCCAGCTTGTGACAAAAATTTATAAAGATGTGCGTTCGTTTTTGTTTTTCAGATCAGACTTACTGTGACAGACTGGTCCAAGACACACCTTTCCTTACAAGCAATGGTCGATTAAGTGAACAGCAAGTTGACAAAATTATCCTCCAATTAAACCGTTTTTACCCACAAATTCTCACCAACAAAGAAGCAGAAAAGGTATTGGGCACTGCTGCAAATGTTTGCATCTGCTTTCATTTTTTGCTACCTGTGTTTCCTTTCCTCCAGGGCAGTAACTTGGGCAGAGAGACCTAGACTTTGTATCCATGGATGGCATTGCCCTAGGGCAGGGGTGGGGAATCTGCAGCCTAGAGGCCACATGTGGCCTTCTAGGTCCTTGGGTGCTACCTTCTGACTGAGTCCAAGTTTTACAGAACAAATCCTTTTATTAAGAGGATTTGTTCTGTGAAGTTTGAATTCAGTCAAAGGGCTGCACTTGAGGACCTAGGGGGCCACATGTCGCTTCAAGGCCGCAGGTTCCCACCCCTGCCTTAGGTATGCTTATTCCCTATCCCCAAAAGCTGGACTCATAGAATCTTCTCTGTCTGGCTCCACCTTTGGTGATAAGGGTCTCATCTTGGGATACTCTTTCTCCCTGACTTTAGACCAGACAGGTGAACTGTTCCCTCTCTCTTCTCCACCTTCCCTTACTCCAGGTACAAAAAATTCCTAATTATGATTCTGATTCTACTCATTCCTGCTGGAACCAAGCTGGAAGGATTCTCATATGCTACAGTTAGGCCTTTTATCTCTCAATCAATTCAGTGGATTGACTATGTATGGTCAGAAGCCAGGAGAATGTCATTAGTTCTCATAATTATTTCGAAATGTGAGGACATTAGGATTTCTACCCTTGATCTAAAAGTTAATTAAGAAGCATTTTCAGTTGATTTCACAAAAACCAGAGAGAAGAGAGTATCTGGGAGAAGGCAGTCAGTGGTTTCAAATCCTTTGGAGAAGGCAAGAAAAGGTGAAGACTGAGAAGAGGTCAACCATTATATTTAGCAATTAAGAGATCACCTGTAACTTTGGAGAGACCATGTACAGTTGAACAATGAGCACAGGAGTCAGAGAAATCAAAACCTTCCCACCATAGTTTCCACATGGAAAAAAATAAGAACTTTGTTTTATTTTGTGATTGTTTTGTTAAATATAAGTTTTTACTGATATCTTTTGTTTTTCTATCACCCTCTTTCAACCACTGGATCCTTCCCCCATCCCTTCCTCTATAATAAAGAATTTTAAAAGGGAAGGGAAAAAAGAAGTTCAGCAAAACTAACCCAACATATCAAAACAGTCTGATGTGTATGCAGGGTTCCACACCTATGGTCACCCCCCTCCATCTCTGCAAAGAATTGGGGCCAACGCTGGTCACTGAAGATCTAACAGTATTCACTTTCAATTGCTTGGCTTTCTGGGACAGGGGAAGAACATGTTTGGAAATGTAGGTGATGTAGAAACAGATTTCAATAACCTTTTAAAAAGCCTTTTTCCAACAGCAACCTTATGCAGAAAATGTGGAAGTAAAACCTACATTTTACAGACAGGGAAACTGAGTCTCGGGGAAGTTATGTTCACATTCAGAGAAGTGGTAATCGAGGGATGTGATGCTTCACCCCAGGGTTTGACTTCCATTCCAGCACTCTCCTCACTGTGCCCCAGGGTTTATTTCCCTCCAGAGCAATGTTTACAGCCCAATTCTTTTTAGTTTGGGGGCTTTCACTCTCTAGGAGTTTCATGAGCTCATCTCTGATCCTCTAAGAAGGTAGCATAGAGACTAAGCATTCAATGCTCCACTTTCTGAAGCATTCAACGTGTCCCACTTCTGTCTCTCTACAGTGCTTTGCCCCCTCTCTGCCAGAGGAGGAGAGCCTCCGCCATCTCTCTTCACCCCTGGCAGGAAGTCCGTCTAACCCGACCTTTCGCTGGGCCCCCAGGAGTTAAAGATCAGACTTGTTAACCTGATTTCTCTCTTCAGTACTTAGCAACTAATTGGTTTCTATTGGAAACTGTTCCAGTTAATGAGATTTAAAGTGACAGTGGTCCTTATAATTGGACAGAAACTGAACAGAAAATTACTGGTCTCATTTATTTTGGTCCAGATATAAGATTTCCTTTTCTCCCCTGCCTCTCTTTTTTTAAAGGCAATCAGGGTTAAGTAACTTGCCCAGAGTTACACAGCAAGTAAATATCTGAGGTTGGATTTGAACGCAGATCCTCCTGACTCCAGGACCAGGATTCTATCCACTGAGCCACTTAGCTACCCCTAAACATATGATTTCAATGGTTTAGGAAATTCCCTTTAACGGTGCAGATTGCCAATATTTCTGCAATTTGGAGTCTTGGAGAATTGCCTCAAGGCAATGAAAGGTTGAGTGACTTGCCCAGAGTCATACAGCCAGCGTAGGTCAGAGTTGAGAATTGAACCCAGGTCTTTCTAACTCTGAATTTGCTACGTGGGATGTTATGCTTCCTTTCTTATTAGTTTTTTTTTTTAATGACTGTTACACACCCATAAATTGGCAAAGATGACAAAAGATGGAAAGAGTCAGTGCTGCAGAGGTTGTAGAAAGGTAGGTGTCCTGATGCACTGTTGTTGGAGCCGTGCAATGGTCCAGTTAGTCTATAAAGCAATTTGGAGGGGCAGCTAGGTGGCGCAGTGGATAGAGCACCGGCCCTGAAGTTAGGAGGATCTGAGTTCAAATTCCGCCTCAGACCAAACACTTGATACTTACTAGCTGTGTACCCTGGGCAAGTCACTTAACCCCAATTGCCAAAAAAAAAAAAAAAAGGCAATTTGGAATTATGCTAAGAAATCGACTAAAAATTACTTTGACCCTTGGATGCCATTGCTAGATATGTACCCCAAGGAGATGAGTGACAAAAAGAAAGGTCTCATACACCAAAATATTTATGGTGATACTTTTTGTAGTAGCAAATAACTGGGAACAAAGTGGAGGCCCATCTTTTGGGGAACAGCTAAATAAGTTATAGTCTGTAACTGTAACAGAATATTACTTTTCTGTATGAAACAATGAATATAATGAATACAGAAAAGTATATAAAGACTTATAGGAACTGATGCAAAGTAAACTAAATAGAATCTGGAAAATAATGTTCACAAAGACTATAATAACATAAACGGAACGAACAATCACACAAAACAATTAAAACTGATAATGGTAAAGTTATAATGACCAAGCTTGGTCCCAAAGAAGAGAAAAAGAGTATATCTCCTTGCCATCTTTGGAGAGGTAGAAAGGTCTATGAGTGTGGAACATTACATATAATAGTAGGCTTGGTTACTTAGGTTGGTTAGTTTTTACTAAACTTTTTTTTCCTCTTTTTCTAATTCTTTATTATAAGGAATAGTTCTCTGAGCATAGGGTGATAAACATACTGAGAGTTGTAGGTAATGTCAAAACAAAAGATAGCAATAGTAAGTCAGTTGACTCACTAGAAAGAATATATTCCCATCTTATCACTTTGGGATAGGAAAAGGCAAGAGTTCTTAATGTTTGTTTCAGGGGACAGAGGTACAAATAATAGTAATAATAATTTATTTCTATAGAAATTACATGTTTACAAATAATCTATATGGCATAAAGAATAATTTTTTGGTAGCAAGGATTGGGGGATGGGGACAGGTCCAGAACTGATTTCAGCAGTGTAGGGAATTCTTATGGACACTGTGTCCACTAATGGGCAATATGTCTGTAACTTTAAGTCTTAGAGAGCTGACTAGGGCACTGAAAGGTTAAAAGACTTTCCCCTTGTCATGCAGACAATATAGATCAGAAGCAATTTTAGAATCTATAACTACCTGATTTCACTACTTTACTTCTCAGGGCAAGTATTGACATTCCCATATTACTGATGGGGGAAGCAGATTTATAATAGTTAAATGACTTGACCAACCTAATTTTTTTTGGTGGAGTTCTGGACCTGTAAGTTTGTTGGTATGAGAAATTATTGGTGTAGAAACTCCTTTCATTGATCTAGGTCAGGAACTAGTCAGTACCTTATAGACTTAAAGATTTGTCTGGAACACTGAGAGTCTAAGTTTCTTCTCCATGGTAACACAGCCAATATGTGCTGGAGGTTAGATTTTCTCAACCCCTCTTAATTCTAGTGCCTTCCCTCTGTTAATTATTTCCCATTTGTCCTGCAATATAGCTTGTTTGTATATATTTGTTTTTGTTTTGTTTTGCTTTTTTTTTTGGTGAGGCAATCAGGGTTAAGTGACTTGCCCAGTCACACAGCTAGTAAGTGTCAAGCGTCTGAGGCCAGATTTGAACTCAGGTCCTCCTGACTCCAAGACAGGAGCTCTACCCACTGCGCCACGTAGCTGTCCCTGTTTGTATGTATTTGTTTGCATGCTGTCTCCCCCATTAGAGTGTAAGATCCTTGAGAGCTAGGACTGTCTTTTTGCCTCTTCCTGTATTCCTGGTGCACAGTGCCTGGCACACAGTAGGCACTTAATAAATGTTTATTGATTGTTTGATTGACAGACCCAGGTCTTCTGGACTCTGAGCCTGGCCCTCTGTCTTCTACATCAGGCTGCTTCTCACCTGAGCTTATAGAGTTCATTAAATGTCAAAGGTGGTATTTGAACTCAAATCCCCTTACTCTACCCTGCTTGGATTTTTAAAGGTTATTCAGTGAGCCAGTGACAGAATTGATATTGGCCTCCTAGTCAATGATGGGACCACTAAACTATGATTCTTGAACTGTTATCTCTGGAACCCCAGGTTCCCAAGGCAGCCCTGTATTCTTGGGAGTAAAGTGTGGCCATGGCAGCTGTATTTAATTTGTGTCTTGTTCATCACCCGAGGCTTGACTCTGAAACTAGAGCAGGGACTTAGTTTTTCCAGTGCTTGAAAAGTAACCTTTAAAAAATGAATTCTTAGAGTAGGCTATTCAGACTTCATACTTGTCCTTTGAGTCATAGCTGCCACACACTGGGTGGCTAATAGCACTGTTATCCAGTCCATTCACCCAGCAAATGGGAAACCGTTTTGCTGCCACTCTGAGGAATTAGGATCTTGGATGAATTTCCTTTGAAAGATTTTGGTTACAGTTGTGTAACTTAAGTTCCTTTAATTCTGTTGCCTTGTAATCAATCATCAAGCTTGTATTAAGTACCCACTATCCCATTCAATCAATATTTATTAAGCACCTACTGTGTGCCAGGCACTGTGCTAAGCTCTGGGGATACAATTAATAAAAAAGACAGCCAATCCCTGCCCTCAAGGAGCTTACAATGTGATGAAGGAAGACAACATACGAAAGGAAGCAGGAAAACAGACAGGGGAGGAGACAAGAGGATATCTTGTTCCATAGAATTGAAACCAGGCAGAGTAGCAGATGCAAAGTGGGGTGAGCTGAGAGTCTGGTTTCTGCTCCCTATAAAGGAAAGCAATGGGAGGAGTTTGGTACTCTACCTTCCAATCAGAGGGAAAGGAGGCTGAGGGAGATGGTCGTAATCAGAGCTTGAGTTAGCATCGTGGTGGTGAGATTAGAGGTGATGAGTGTATCCTGGGGCATCTTATTCAGTGGAGTTGAATCCAGGTCTTCTCTGAGGATTCTAAGAAGCATGGGAAAAGAAAGAGTGCATTCCAGGCATGGGAGACAGCCTATACAAAGGCTTGAGGATGGAAGACAGGATGCTGTGTGGGAGGAACAGCGAGACCAGTTTTAGCTGGATGGTAGAGTGTGTGAAGGGATGTAATGCAATAATAAGTCTGGATAATTAGGTCAAAGCCAGGTCATAATTACCTTTCAGAGAAATTTTCATTTTATCCTGGAGATAATAGGGAGCCCCTTGAGTTTATTGGTAAGGAGGTGACATGGTGCTTATGCTAAGAGGTATCATTTATAGTGGAATAAGTGTTCCAGTTGGGGTGCCAGGTTTCAAAGCTGGAAGGGACCCGAAAGAGCATCTAGTCCAATCCCCTTACTTTACAGATAAGGAAGCTGAGACCCAGAGAGGTTCAACGCAGTAGTGTGCAGGTAATTGTCTAACAACAAGCTCTCAGGAGGGCAGGGAGGAAATATGGACGTACACATAACATACTTTTAAGTTTAAACTACATTATTAACATTTTCTCTATCGCTTTCTTAGGTCTAGAAATCAACAAAAGAATAAGTCAAGCCTTGATTTATAGCATTTGCCAATTTCTAAAGCATAAATGCTCACACTGAAAATTTAACAAAAATGAACACTATGATCCAGTTCTAGCATGCCTGGTTCAGTGACTCATCCGAAATTACATAGGTAGCAAATGACAAAAGTAGTATTTGAACTCAGATCCTTCTATTTCAAATAACATGCTCTTTCTACTACTCCAGAATCAGAATCAGGTCTGAGTCCTGATTCTAACAGTTACTCAGTGTATGACAGAGGACATATTACTTCACAAAACTAAACCTCATTTTCTCATTTCATAAATTGAAAATGAAAATACTCCTACTGCCTACCTCTCAGGGTTGCTGTGAGTAAACATTCTGTAAATCTTTTTTTAAAATTTATTTTATTTTTAATTTATGGAATAAAACAAGCATTTCTATATCATAGTATAATAAAAAGATTATTACACTTAAAATTGCAAATCTATTATGTATAACTTGCTATTCCTTTTAAATATATAATAAAGTTATAAGGTAAATTTCTTTTTTTCTTTTTTTCTTTCCTCCCCCCACCCTAGAGATGGCTACCATTAGACACAAACATATATATATACACACTTATATTTGGATGGGTGGATGGATATATATGTATATATACACACATAAATACATATATACATATGTGCACATGCATATATACACACATGTATAGGTATATGTGTATGTGTATGTACATATGTAAAATTATTCTATAGATATTTCTGTTTATCTGAAGCACTATAGAAAAGTGACTGGCTGTTAAAAATCTGACGCTTTGATGGATCTATAGTCTCCTTAATGTGGGTACCCTCTCTGGCCATGCAGATCACAACCCATCCATTCCTGCCCATCCTATGTGATTCTTATCCATGTATTACCATCATTATAACTAGCATTTCTATATCACTTCAAAGTTGGCAAACCACTTCAAAAATACGACCTCATTTTATCCTCCCAACAACCCTAGGAGATGGGTGCTATTATTGGTCCCATTTTACAGGTGAGGAAACTGAGAAAGACAGAGGTAGATTGACTTGCCCAGAATTACACAGCTAGGTTAGCTTTGAACTCAGGACTTCCTGACTTTGGCACTCTATCCAGAGCACCACCTGGCACGTATTATGTTGACTTTGGTTTCGTTGTGTATGTGGCTTTTGAATTTAGACCCTGTCCTATTCATTCTTTCTGACTTTTAGTTCCGAAACCCCAAAACATCTCTCCGTGTGCGTTTATCCGACCTCCTGACCCACCTGCAGAGGAAGGGTGAAAGAGACTGCCAAGAATTCTACAGAGCTCTGTACATCAATGCCCAACCTCTGTACGGCAGCCTGCCCAGCAGGAAGGCCATGAGTAAGTTTAAGCCACAAGAGCCATATTGAAGTTGCATTTGGTGGCTGCTGTGTTACAAACATTTGCATTTAGCTTGAGAATTAAGTGTGTGGTTTGTTGTTGTTGTTTTTTTTTTAAACCTGTTTACTTGCTATTGTTGAACCTCTTCTTGTTTTTTAAATCCCTGGATGTCAAAGCCCCCAAAAGATACTTCTTTTGACTTTATCCACTCGCCCTGTTGCTCTCCTGTGGATGCTTTGACTATAGCCCATCTCTCCCCCGCACAGTGCTTCTGGGAGGGATAGAAGATGGGGCAGCATTAGAGGAAATTCCAGGTTTGGAACAAGCTAAGGGAATTCAGGCTGTCTGATATTTGGGGATCTGAACTGACGGGTGAGAACTGGGGATGGGGAGGGATTGGGCCTTTACTTTGGGCTCTAGGGGACTTAATGGCAGCCCGTGTGGCTCTAAGTTGAAAAGGCAGCTGAGGCCTAGCTAGTTTCCTTTTTAATCTCTAAAATTTCTTTTCGGTTAATTCTGGGTAGAATTTAATTACACAAAGGAAACATCTGGGTTGCTGTTGACATGTAAAAATATCATATAGGAAGTAGACAATCTAGTATGGCGTGCATGTGTGTGTGTGTGATATACACACAGACATACACAGTGACACACATATATATATACACACATACAGCTACACACGAATTCCCTCCTACCCCCCATGCATGGGAGATCTAGCAGCACAGGTATTTCCTTGGCTGATTATAGGATCCCAGATCTAAAAGGGACCTAAAGATCATTGAACTGTGCCCATTCTTAATTAAGAATCCTAACTACAATACCCCCAACAAATAGCTATCAAGTCTCTACTTGGAGAATTTAGAGATGGAACACTTACTGCTTCATCTGGTTGCCCCTTCCACTGCCCAACAATTGCCATTTCCTTAATTCAAACCAAAATTTACTTCCCTGGTACTTGTGCCAGTCGCTGCTAGGTCTTCTTTGCCAAGCCAGACAGAATACTGCCATTCTAATCCTTCTGGCCCATGATAGCTGTCCAGGTATCAGAAGACAGCAGCCATAGCTTTCTCAGGCCTCTTTACCTCCAGACTAAAGACCCTCAGAGCCTTCATCGGGCATGATTTCTAGGCCTCTGCTCTAGATTGTTAATGTCCTTCCTAAAACATAGAGCTTAGAATTGGACTTGTGGCCTGATCAGCCCAGTGCGTGGTTAGACCTGTTACTTCCCTTGTTCTGACATCTTTGCTGCGTCATGTGTCATAGCACATTTAAATAGCACTTTAAGATTTACAAAGCGTTTTACAAATATTATCTCATTTGGTTCTCAGAAGAACTTTGGGAGGTAGCTTCTATTATTATTATCATCCCCATTTCACAGATGAGGAAACTGAGGCAGGCAGAGGTTAAATGACTTGTTCAGTCACGGTCACACAGCTAGGAAACTTCTGAGGCTGGATTTGAACTGAGGTCTACCTGACTCTAGGCCCAGCACCCTATCCATTGAGTCACCTAGTTGCTTTTCAGGGACTGTCTGATCAGCTACAAATCCAAAAAGATCCCTCCAGCACTGTGTTCCACGATGCATATCATATTAACAATGTGAATGGAGCCCCAGGGCCAGTGAGACTTCACTGTATCAGCCTGATTATTATTATATTATAATCATTAAATTATTAGAATATTATATTACCAAGACAGCACTTGTCAACTGCTTTGTGCCAAGTGTAGCATGTAGGTCCATGGAGATCAAAGGATCGTTTTTCAGGTTCCCCATCTAGAGTTAACATAGCAGAGATTTGTTAATAACCACTAAAATCAGTGGTTATTTCAATCCATATGGGATCACAAGGAGATTGGAAAAGTGATCTAGTCCAACCTCATTTTGCAGACTAGGAACCTGGAATCCAGAGGAGTTAAGTGACATGGCCATAATCATACAAGCAGAAAGGAAGAGAGCCCGAGATCTTGGCTTTGGTACTAGGACTTCTGGCTCCCAATCCAGTCGTCCTTCCACTTCACTACCACCATGCTCTCTCACTTGTTTTTTATTTTTATCTTTTAAGGCAAAAGTACATTTACTTCAAATAAAGTGCAAAGTAGACCAGCAGGGTTCAATTCCACAGAAAGCCCTCTCACCCTGTTTCTCAAACTATCTCCTGCTCTTGAAGGGTTCCAGTCCTGACATTCCATCTTATTTTTTTTTTTTTACCCAATGTTATTCATTTAAAAAATAAGCTTCCAAGAGAAGTAGAGAAGAGAGTCTGGGACGGCTGGGGCTATGAAAGAAACAATTGAGGCCTCACCTGTTTCAGCTCTAAGGTCATTCCAAGTTAAGCCCAAGTTTGTAACAGAACCATTATTTGGTTACCCTTCACCTGAAGCTCAGTTTATCTCACTTTTTATTTACTTTAGGGATAGGGATAGGAATAGGGGCTGGAATTAAGGAATTCTTGGATGAAGAAACTCCCTCTACCAACACAGGTTGGCCCATTCTCTGCAGTTTAGAGTCCCAAAGAGTTGTTTGAGTTATTTCACGGGTCACTTTATAGAAAATTATGTTCTCCCTTTTTATGGACAAGGAAATTGAAGAGATGTAGGTGGGTGGAATGATTGTGGCAGACTTTAAATACCAGGCAAGGCAGTGGAGTTTGGAGTTTAGTTTATAGGCAATGGGGAGTCATTGAAGACTTTGAGCAGGGGAATAATGTGATTAAAATGGTGCTATAGAGATGGTTTTGTGAAAGATGGATTATATAGGGAGAAACTGGATGCAGGGAGACCAGTTTAGGGTCTGTTACAGTAATCCAAGTATAAAACAATAAGGGTCTGAGTTGGGGGTGGTGGTGACAGGAGGAGTGGAAAATATTGCAAAAAAAAATTTGCAAAACAATTTCGTGACTAGTTATGGTGGATGAAGGAGAAGGATGAATCAAAGATCACCAAGGTTTTAAGACTGGGGAAGGGGGGTGGGGTGGGGAATAGTGGTGCCTTTAATAGAAATGAGGAAGTTGGAAAGAGGAGTGGGGATTTTGGGGGAAAAAAATGGAAATGTGGAGCAGGCAAGTAGAGATAGCAGATTGGAATGAGATAATAGATGTAAAGCACTTTGCAGATGTTAGGCACTATCTATGATGAAGACAATGATGCTGGTGATGTTAAAATCCCTTGAAGAAAGAGAGTGGAGAAAGACAGAACCTCAAATGAACCCTATGGACATTTCCAAACTTGGAAACTGGGCAAATGGCAACTGAAGTTAATAATGATCCCAAGGCCCATGTAGTTTTGGCAGTATGTGTATTTTATTGTCTTCTGATTCTTTGAAGGTCATCAATGTCTCTGTAATTGGCCTACAATGTCTGAGTAAGAAGAAACGGAATAGTGAATGAGTCACCTGTGCTATGGCAGTTGAGTGGCACAATGGATAGACAGCTAGCCCTGGAGTTAGAAGACCTGAGTTCAAATGCAGTTTCAAACACTTATACTGTGTGACCCTGGGTTCATCATTTAACCTCTGTCTGCCTCAGTTTTTTTATCTGTAAAATGGTAATAATAATAGCACCTACCTCCCAAGGTGGTTGTGAAGTTGACATATTTGTAAAATGCTTTGCAAAACTTAGAGAGCTATAAATGCTTGGTGTTATCTTCATCCTCATCATCAGGCTACACAGTACAATGGAAATTATTCTGGATTTGTCCATCAGGGAACCTGATTGCTTATTACCTTTGTGACCTCAGCAGTTCTCAATTTTGGCTTCTATGAAGTGATGGAATTAGACTAGAAGATCTCTAAGATCGCTTCTCCTCTCTCTTATAATCCTTAGCCTCATTCAGGACTCATTTCAGGTCCCCCCCCCGGGAAGCTTTTTATAATCCCCTAGTTATTAATACTCTCTCCTTCTCTGAATGATCTTGCATTTACTTATCGATGTAAGTTACTTCAGGGTAAGAACTTATGTAATCCCAGAAAGCTGGAAAGAACCTTGGAAGCTACTGAGTCCAACTCCATTATTTTAAAGTTGAAGAAACTGAGGCACAGAGGTTAAATGACTTACCCAGGATCATACAGCTAAGGAATATTTGAGACAGTGACTGAGAGTATCTGAACCTAGGACTTCATAACAACTTGTTGCCTCTCATTTTGTCTTTATGTCCCCAGGGTCTTGTGAATTTAGTGGGCACTTAATAAATGCTTGTTGAATTGAAATATACATCTAAATCCTATGATTCTTTATTATATTTATGCTATTTTATATTCCATTATTGCTGGGAGGTCATCCATTTTGTGTGATAATTGAAGCTAGAGGAGGATGTGATCACAAAATTGAAGTTTTCTGTTTTTGTTGTTTTGGAGGCAATCAGGGGTAAGTGACTTGCCCAGGGTCACATAGCTAGTAAGTGTCTGAGGTGGGATTTGAACTCAGATCCTCCTGATTCCAGGGTATCTACTGAGCCATCTAGCTGCCCCAGAATTGAAGTTTATGTGGATACAAAAGATTTCTGGTTCAACCAGGAACCCAGAGATGAACCTGGAGACACGTGAAGTAGGGAGGGTGATATCGCTTACGAGTCAGGGCTGAAGGTACCTGCAGCCCTATATTCACATGAAACTAGAGTAATAGCCTATTAAGGGCTGATTTTGTGAATTAAGTTTTTTCAGAGTAGTTTAAATAACAAGAGTGGCACCCATGCTTTATCACTTGTATATAGGTATCTATGGAATGAAGACATGTTGGGAGAAAAAGGCAAGTAAATTTTATTTCATTACTGACTGACTAAGCATAAATTATGCTGAAAAGATGCTTTGTGAAAGAAATGAGAAATGGAATGAAGGTGGCCCCAACTTTTCTCTCCCCCAATAGTAGGGATAGCCTACCACCAGAGCTATGTTGAGAGAGCTTTGGACCCACTAAGTTACCTGATCTCTACTTATAATTGGAAAGCTAGTTTGAGAGTTTAATAGCCCCCAGCATATTAAGAATGTCAGATAGAGATGGTTCCTTTTTTTTTTTTTTCATTTTGCTCATAAGAAAACAGTTGTTCAGTCGTTTTTTCAGTTGTCTCTGATTCTTTGACTCCATTTGGGGTTTTCTTGCCAGAGATACTGGAGTGTTTGCCATTTTCTTTTCCAGCTCATTTTACAGAAGAGAAAACTGAGGCAAACAGGGTTGAGTGACTTGCCTAAGGTTACACAACTAATGTCTGAGGCCAGATTTGAACTCAGGAAGATGAGTCTTCTTGACTCCAGGCCTGGCACTCTATCTACTGTGCAACTTAGCTGCCCACAAGAAAACAGAGAACCTTACAATTAAAAATTTTATCTTCATATTTTATTAGCATGAAAAAAGCTTTTTTTAAATTTGTAAACTGACTTAATTATTTTAAAGGCTTTTAAATTAAAAGTCAATTAAGAAGAAAAATTGAAGGTATGAAGTAATGAATTTTAATTGGCAAAATACAGGTATCCTGCAGCCTTTTGCTAGCACTTTAGGTGATTATAAATTTCATAATTGAGGATTGTAAAGTTGTTGGGTATTTTTTGTTTTGTTTTATTTTTGGTGAGGCCAGGTCACATATTTGGTCTAATTCTTCCAATCACATGGAGTTGTGCAGAAGGAGAAAGTAACTCTTCTCTCTCCTGGGTTCTCATTTTCACCTCCTGGGTGTGCATATGTTGAGGGGGAGGAGGAAAGATGGTGATCCTGGGACCATTTTGATGAATGGTCTCTTTTAATTTTCCCAAATTGACCATTGTTAGGGATAGAGACAATATATTGATGGCAAAATGCATTTTAAAACAATACGTTATAATGCCAAAGCCTCACAAATATTTCAAATAATGACATTTGTGCTTCAGTTTTCATTAGAGTTTGACTTGTGAGAGGATCAAGGGGTTATGTTTATCCACTGCAAGTTTTTGATCGGCTTCATTTTGGGAAAATATTGCTCCCCAGGGCAGTTTTCTGTTATCAGCATGTAGAAGAGCTTCAAAGCCAGCAGCAAACAGAGAGACTCGACTGTCACTGGGGAGCCAGGCTCAGGGTGGGATCAAGAGAACATGCCTGTTGTTGGAAGATTTGATACCTGTCCCATCTGCCTTCTCTTAAAGACATATATTCACAGCCTCCTTGTTAGTGTTCTCTGACCGGTATGAACCTGGGATAGGCTTGCCTCTTGTCTAGAGGAGGAAAAAAAGAACCCCGCCTTCTTCTCTCCTAGATTCTGTACCCCATGAGGGCCTATGTCCATACCCCGTTCAAAGAGAGAATCTTTTAAATGAGGCCAGTGACTGGCTACAACACATTGTTCCATTGGGACAGGGCTAGGGAGGGAGAGAGTTGGTAGTCTGTATTCTCTGATGATGGATGAAACTGTAGAGAGGTTTACCTATGCAAGTTTTATAAGTCCATAGGTCAAAGAATCAGATTTTTAAATGGATTAAAGAAAAGAAACCAGAAATCTTTTGCCAATAACACCACAATCAGTCAGTCAACAACCATTTATTTAAAACCCTCTATGTTCTAGGGACTGTGCTAAGAGCTAAGTTTATAAATACCATAGCAAGTGTTATGGTTTCAGGTCCCAGTTTCCTGACTGAGAAATGAAAAACCCACCTTTTTTTTTTTTTTTAAAGAAGAAAACACCGTAGCCTTCTGACAAAGTGACAGCCTCATACTCAGCTTTCCGAGATGCTACAGTATACAAATGATTCCATTGTTGGGAATTATTTTGACACATGCTTTCTGTGAAGCAAATATTTTCCCCCATTATTTCCCACTAGAAAATGTGCCAAAAACATATTTCAAAACTTTTCCACAGTTGAGATGTCCAGAAAATGCTTTGGTCAGATTACAACTGCAGCTCCATCTGAGTTTATAGATTTCGGTAGGTGTTCTGTTGCAAACAATGTGACTGTTCTGATGCTGTCTGGCTGAGGCCCCTCAAGATGGACAATACAGATTACTATCCAACGTTGTTTGCCAATATGTCTTTGCAGCTCTAATTTTGACTTAGGCCCAAGATGTACAGGCCACCTGTCTCTTGGCCTGAGGCTCAGGATTACAATTGCTTGGGACCAATCATAGTTATAGAGCAACAATGACTTACGGTCATTATCCACAGGCTCTCCAGTCTGTGATCTCGACTCTGTACATATTGGAGACAAAGTGACAAAATGCTTAATTGCCCCAATGCACTTGATTGTTTTTCCCCTTCCTTCCTGGTTAACAGGATTCCTGTTACTTAAGAGAGTTAGCACCTATAGAATGTAAGCTTCTTGAGGGCAGGAGCTATTTTATCTTTGTATTTGTATTACCTTCATCTAGTGCAGTGCTTTGTACCTTTTTTGATCTAGCCCTGTAATTTCATCTTTGTGAAGAATTTTCAAGGTGGAAACAAACCTCTATAAATTTAATGTTAATTTACAAATTTAGCTTCTTTTCTTAGAGAGTTTCATCATGCTCACAGTCATATAGCCTGATATCAGAGGTAGGGCTTGAGTATAGGTCTTCCAGACTCTATGCCTTGTACCATGCTGCCTCTCGTCTTACTCACAGTAGGCACTTAGTAAATGTTTTTAATTGAATTTTAGCATAATTTTCATTGTAGAAGAGTCTTTTGTTTCTAATTCTGAGGAATAGGGTGGGAGGGAAAATTCTAAATTTTTCTAAGAGTAAATTTCTAAGTAAAATTTGTAAGAGTAAATTCTAAAATTTCTAAGAGTAAATGCTTTCTCCACTTCCCACCCCACCCCAACATATCATACTACTGAGGTATCTTTAAAATAGGTATTATTCGTGTGATGTTTAATCTGAATTGGAAAAGCAGTTATTAATGATTTTCTTTTATTCATTGTTGCATGACTTGATACCGAAGTGCATGTTTTGCTTCAAGTTCCAAACTAATGGTTGGTATATTATTTTATTTCTAGAAACCTCAGATTCCACAGAGCTAGACCCTGACAAGGAGAAATATAATCTAAATGACAGGGGTAAATAAAACATATGAGCCCCTTGGAGGGCATTCCACTAAGTTCTTCATCTCCATCTACCTCTCTATTCATGTACTTCTAAAGTGCCAGTCACCATGGTGATGGGAAGCTGCTTCTTCTGGGTTTTGATTTATTCTTGAATAATAGGAAATTGTTCATAATTTTTCCTCATTGCAGCCATCTAAATTCTTTGTTTTTTCCAGAAAACAAAGCTTTCTCCAAACAGATAAAATATATTCAAAAGAGATACCGAGTAGACTTCCTATGTCTTCTTGGAAGAGGGATGAGGTGGGGTGAGTCTCTAAACCAGCCAACTAAATCGGGATGCTTTTGGAAAAATTAATTCAGGAGACCAGTCTATTTCTTTTTCCCTCTCAGCCCAACCTCAGATGTTATCTCATAGTGTGTGAAATGGGCAGCTTCCTTTATTCATCTTGTGGGTTTGGATGAGGAGGACCAGGAGAGGCAAGGAGGGGGAAATTGTCTATACTCCACTTCTCACCCACTATCTTCCCCACTTTGGAATATTCCTGTCGTTTGGGTTTGGGTTTGGTTCTACTTTGCTTTCGCATTGCCTAAATAGAAGGGCCAGATTTTCAGCCAGCTCCATTCTGGCCTTTAAATTTGTGCCCATCGCTTTCCCACGCTGAATAATTTGTGTTCTATAGCTTGCATTTGTACCAGTCTTGTCTCTTGCTCCACTGTGGAATATATGGATGGCACTTTTTTTTTTCCAATAGAAATGCATGCATGTCTATAACTTATGAACCTCATTCTTTCCTATAATTCAGTCCATACTGACCATGTGTGATTCTCTATTTTGACTCTTCTGTCTCTGTGAGGAGAAGGCCAATTCATGCGGGATCAATTCCAGATGACATCTTATTTATTCCTTTCTCTTTCCCTTTCAGGTCCCATGTTTTTTCTTGCTTGTTTCAGTGTGGCTGCAGGACTAGCTTTCTTGATTTATTACTGCTCACCAGGTAAGATGGAATACTGCAATGGTTTTCTTGTTTGCTTGTTTGTTTGTTTTTTCGGGGAGACAATCAGGGTTAAGTGACTTGCCCAGGGTCACACAACTAGTAAGTGTCTGAGGCCAGATTTGAACTCAGGTCCTCTTGACTCCAGGGTCAGTGCAGTGCTCTATCCACTGCACCACCTGGCTGCCCCAACCATGGGTTTAAATGAAATCTATGTCTCTCACATTTTATTATGAAACCTTAAAGTCCTGTATAAACGAGGTGCTATTATTACTACGGTGTCCATATGTACAAAATGATGTTGCCGAGCTCATCCAAACAGTCAGTGTGAGTCGTGAGCTCACAAAACAGAGGGCTAGTTTGTGGAGATCTTGTTCTATCAAACCAGCAGTGGAAGATATAGTGAAGGAAGCTGGTTTTTCATGGGATTCCCAGGACCACAGAATCGCAGTGTTTAAAAAGTTCCCTGGTTTAGACATTTGCAAGAAGGTATGAAGGACAACCCGTGCACTAGCCAGATGAAACCCTTAGAACAGTGGCCCCCAATACTTTGACTAAGAAATGCAATCTCCCCCCTTTCTTAAAATCTTAGTTTGTCAAACCCTTCCCATTTTCCTCACCCCCTAGTCCTGAGTGGTCACAGTCTCTGGGCATTGTTTCCCAGACCCACAGATGTGAATGTAAGGAGATCTGTAGCCTAGAAGATGTCAGAGTAGAAATGTGACCTTCAGGACAGCCAGGCTGCTGGTGGGCCTTTGACCCCTTCAGTGTTTAGTGCTGGTCCAGGGTCATCAGTTCAACGGGAACTCACCCAGGAGAGCTGCCTGCAAAACAAACACAAAACTAAAAACAACCTCCATCTCTTTTACTGAAGAGAATTGAAATTTTAGCATGATTTAAGTGAATGAATCAGACCTCAAGACCCAAAGAGTTAAAGCAATGCTTTCCTCCTTTCTTAAAGACAAGTAAAGTTTCTGTACATTGCAGTGTTCACCAGGTATCTATAGTATTCACTCTTGTTGGTGGGTATGTTTTATATTCTATGTGTATGCAGCTCCTGCAGGGTGGATGCTGACTTCTCTTAAAAACATTTTTTTTGAATATAGATAGCCTTTGCTTTTACCGCACCTTCATTTCAAAATATCCCCTTTGTCTCTTTCCTCCTAAGAGAAACATCTGTTTTAACAAAGAATAAAGAAGGGAATGTAAAAAGGGAATATAGCAGAGCAACACTTGGGTACTTATTAAAAAGGCCCATAACAATGGACCAACAACAACCAGGGTGGGGGTGGGGAGGCATAGCTATTAAAGTTTAATAAATGCGTATTACCACTTGGTGGATGAAAGCAAGCTCCCAAATCCTAGGACAACAGAAACTGCAATCTTGAGGCAGCTGGCAGTTGGCTAAGTGAGGCAGAATAAGGTCATGGAGATATAGCATTGTAGCTTGGACCTCACATGTATCTCTGTTTGCTCTTTTCTGCACTGACCATGCATTATTTTGTATTCTAGTTATTTAAGTATGTGCTCTGATCCCTCCACTAGCTCTCTAGAGGAAGGGATCTTGGTTTATCTAAATTTTGTGCTTCACCCAAAGCACTGTGGGTAAGACCGTCAGTAGTCACTTAGTAAAGGTTTGGTGAAATGAATCAAGTAGCTTAGGATGACCTGCTTGAATATTGTAGCTAGATAATATCAATAATTACTAATAATCATTTTACTCCCTCCAGACTTTACAAAGTTCTCCCCCAAGTCATGTTTCCTGGTAAATTACATAAGGGAGGGATTTTCTGGCCACATTGGAAATAAAGGAGGACCAGGTTTGAACTGTATGCTTATATTAAGACTTTCTAGCAAACAGAACACATTATTTTTGGATTTCTTTTAATTTTTGGCGAGGCAATTTGGTGTGCCTAGGGTCACACAGCTAGTAAAAATAGAACACATTTTTTTCTGATTCAGTTGGATCAATGCAACTGGATAGTATTTATCCATCAGATATTTCTTTTCTTGAATTTTTCCCAGTGCCCTATAAATCATTGGAAAACTTCAGATGAGAAAGTGGTAAACTCAATGAGTATTTCATGCCATCACTTTCTATTTTCTAGGGGATTCTGCCTGTGCTCAGTAGGAGCTTCCCAACAGAAGTAATTACAGACTTATCTTTGGGGGCAGCAAGAAGAGCTAGGAGCTCTCCCTCAGTGACTGGGAGATAAAAATGAGTTTGTCATTTCACTCTGTGGCTGTTCCCTTCCCTGTATCCCAAGTTTCATCTTCCCCAAAGTTTACACCAGAGCCAACGGTAGTTTCCTCTGTATTTTTATTGTTGCAGCCAATCTCTAAGAGGGAGAGATCCATACTGTTTCCCTGTTTAGCCCATTCAAAGTGGCCACCAGCCAACTTGGAATGCACCTCATTGGGGCAGCTAGGTGGCGCAGTGGATAGAGCACCAGCCCTGGATTCAGGAGGACCTGAGTTCAAATCCAACCTCAGACATAACATTTACTAGCTGTGTGACCCTGGGCAAGTCACTTAACCCCATTGCCTAGCCAAAAAAAAAAAAAAAAGGAATGCACCTCATGTTTGATCAGGACAGACTTGAGAATGGGTTGCTGGGAGCACAGTGAGACAGACCCCCGGCAGGTGGTAGTCATTCATTTAGAATGATTGCATGATTTTTGTTCAGGAGAGAGAGGTAAAAAAACAGAGAGACAGACTACAACAGCCCTGACGGAAAACAACTATCATAATTATTCAACAGTCTTTTTCAAAGACTTCTTCCTGGGATGCATCTCATGAAGGGGGGTTTTGGGGAGGTTTTGCCCTGGACAAGTTCTTTTGTTCACCTCCTACTCCTGTCTTTTCTTTCAGATCCCAGAGTTCTCAGAGGAGCCAGAAGAGTGATAGGATTCTCTCCCATCATCATTGGGAAGCACCTCAGTCATTATTTGTTAGCCTACTTGGAAAAAGGCTTCAAAGAACCATGAACCAAATATACTTCTCTCTGTCTTCTCATCTCCTGCTCGCCAATGGAGTATATATATCTATACAGTGTATCCGAAGTTCCTATACCAAAGATTGCCTGGCCTGACCTTGCTTCAGCAGTGACTGTATCATTGCGAGTATATTCTAAGAGTCAGCCCTGTATCCCCTGCTTTGTGGTGGGAACAGATCATTTATTTTTTTAATGGCTTATTTTTAAATATTTATAACTTCAATAAAAATAACTTTTAATTCAAACCTTAGAGCGTGACTGACTATATCTAATGCACAAAGTTTCAAATGGGAATGGGTCTTAACAGTCTTTTTTTATCAGATGTCCATCTTTCTCTTGTAGATGATATAAAAGTTTCCTAAGGGTAAGTAATTGTTTCTTACTAGCAGTGTTTGCAGGATTCTTCAAAGAAGCTCCAAGTGGACCATCTGTGGGACAACGTAACTGTCCTCCAAGATGTAGTTTTCAAAGACTACTAACATTACTTGAATATCCCTGATCACTTTCTCATGGATAATGGATCTATAATAGATTATGAATTTATCCAAGCCCTTCTTGAAAATTTTTTATGTTTTTACATTGAACTTCTTGGAATAAAAAAAATTACATGTGCTTACAACCTTGGAGTAACTCAGTGTATGTTTTCACTCATTCCAAAAAAAGCCAAAATGATGTTTTTAAATTAGGGATATCCAGTCTGACTATCATGCCAGGAGGCATAAGATTTATTCATAGACAAGACAGTATAATGTGTGAGATCATATTTAAAAGGAGATTCAAGTGTGGTCCAGGGAAGACCTGTAGATAAATGGAGGCAGAGAAACATGGCAGTTAAAAAGGGAGATGTTCTGTAATCCAGACTATGAGCTTCAAACAGGAACAAAGATCACAGGAGCCTATATTTAGGAAAGGAAAGGACTTTTGAGGTCCAATCTCTTTATTTTATAATTGAGGAAACTGAGACCTAGAGAGGTTAATTGATACCTAAGTCTCCCAGGTATTGAATAGCAGAGGGCAGGGTTGAACCTAGGTCCTCTCATTCCAAATTCAGCATTCTTCCACAGTGCTCCATTTGGGTGATCCTTTCAGTTGCTCTGTTGAAAAGACCTCATTAAGTATAATTTTTACTCTCATACTCAACAAAGAAAGGTCGTTAGCTGGATGATCTCATTTCTTTCTGTTCCTGGGTCTCAGTTTCAGAAAACCAGAGCAGATAAAAAAGAAACTGAACAGTTTCACCACCACGCCCAATAGCTTGTCCTACTCTGAACTCTATTAGACAGCCATACCCCACTGTGAAAGCCTAAGGAGTTAGTTTAAGAGAAAGGGCATCTTCCAAATTCCCAACAGGCTTTGCTTTTCCTTTGCTAGTGGTTTAACTAGCAGAGAAGACTGGAGAAGATCTCTTGTGATGCTTCCTCTCACATGTGTTTCTTACGGTTGGGGGCTGTGAGCAGAGTGGGTTAACCCAGAGCATAGCTGCACTCCTACCAAAGGCTTTTACAAACCAACCAAGAACATTGGTGGATGGGAATATGCTATGCCCTTGGATGGTGCCCAGAGCAGGAACACCAGGGCCTTGCTGAGTGGTGTCTCTTAGAAAGGACAAAAGAGAAGTTATAGAGTCAGTTCCAGAGACAGCAGAGGCATCAAGTGGTGTAGTGAATAGAATGCTGGGCTTGGAGTCAGGAAGATCCGAGTTCAAATCTGACCTCAGACACATACCAGCTGTGGGATCCTGGACAAGTCATTTAACCTCTGCTTCATCTGTAAAATGAGGATAACAATAGCACCTATCTCACAGAGTTGTTGTGAGAACCAATGAGATGATATTTATAACGTGCTTAGCACAGTGGCTGATACAGTAGACCCTTAATAAAAGCTTTTCTTCCTTATAGCCAGGAGCAAACAAGGCAATAAGGTTTCAAGCATTTATTAAGTGCTAACTTTGTGTCAGGCACTGTACTGGGGATATAAATATAAGCAAAAAGAAAGGCCTTGTCCTCAAGGAACTTACATTCTAATGAAGGAAGAGCACACATAAAAAGAAGCTGAGAAGGGGCAGAGTGGGGCACAAGAGGGAAAAGACATTGTGGCAAAAGTCCTGAGAGTCAGAAGCACAGCTGGGAGAGGAATGAAGCCAGCTAGACTAGGCCTGTCTCTGAAGTGGAGGTCCATCGAGCCTCAGACAAAACACTTGACACTTACTAGCTGTGTGACCCTGGGCAAGTCACTTAACCCCAATTGACTAAAAATAAATAAATAAATAAATAAAATAAAGTGTAGGTCCCAAGAAGAAATTCATTAATGGGAGGAGGGGGCCAGCATGATGGAGTAATGTTCCAGGGTCAGAAGGCCCCTGCTGCTGAAGGAAGTTCAGAGTGAGAAGAGAGTTGAGTTGTGGCAGTAAAGTCCACCATCTTGAAGGAGCAATTTTATCCCCTCCCCACCATTTCAGTGCACATGTAGAGGTTTCCAAATCAATAAAATCCAAGAGCTAGGGACTGAACCTGGGATTTTGTTGTTATCAGGAACTGCGAGAAGAAACTTCCTTTACCAATGCAAGTGCACAGCAGAAAGAGCTCTGAATTTGGGGGTCACAGGACCTGAGTTTGAATCTTGGCTTCTATAAGTATTGCATGACTTTGGGCAAGCCACTTAACCTTTCTGGGCCTCAATTTCCTCATGTGTGAAATAAGGCAACTGGATTTAGTTGACCTCTAAGAGCCCTTTTAGTTTAGTCGTATAAGTCCATGGTTCTTGCGTTTGAAAGTTCGTAGCAGCAGAAACCAAATATTTTTAAAACTTCAGATAATTAGAACCTAGTCTGCTCACAATTCTCAATCAACCGAAATGTTTTCTTCATACCTAAAAGGTCAAGAACAATAATCAGAGACCTTATCTAAGAATCATTTTCCAAGGGGTGCCATAGGCTGATGTACATTCAAACTGCTCTCTAACTTCAACCAGCCTGATTAAAGATCAAAGGGTAGTGCCCTATCAACTGTTGAACCAGATAGTGAAAGTATTATTATCTTCATTTTATAGGTGAGACAAGAGCCAGGAAGTGATCTGTCAAAGTCACACTGCTACTGAGTCTTTAGGGCATCAGATGCCACTGGCATTCCCAAAGAGTCTCCCCAAGATACTCGGGTAGAAAGAAAGGGTCCTCTCTGCGACCGAGCTCTTACATTCAGATGCAAAAATGGGGCTCAGACATATTCACTCACAAGGAATGAAACTGAAAGGGTTTTCCAGGGATGCTGAAGTCTCAGTGACTCTCAAAAGCCAAAGACCAAACACAGAAAACTCATTTAGACATGAGTGGTCTCTGGTGATGCAGGGGAAGAAGGATGCTGGCTTTCAGACTACACTCTGTCACTACCTTGCTCAGTGTCTTTGGCCAAATCCTTTCCCTTCCCTGAACCTCATTTTCTTTCACTGTAAAATGTAGGAAAATTGTACCATTTCATCATTTTGAACCCTTTCAGTGTTGAAATCCTGGGACTTCTACTTAGGAGAAGCAGCTTGGCATACTGAAAAGAGTCCCCAGTTTGGAATCAGCTAGACCTCAGTTTAAATCCTAACTCTGCTATTCAATAGCTGAATGACTATGGACAAATTACTTAAGCTTTTTAGCCTGCAGTTTCCTCACTTGTAAAATGGGGATAATTCACATTGCATACCTCCCAGCTGTTGTGAGGACAGAGCTTTGTGAACCGTCAATGCTATGGAGACCATTATTATTTTAACCTCCATCTACACTAGCTTCTGTTACATCTGCTCATTGCCTTCCATTTCATTTTCTGTAGGTGCATATTAAAGATAGAAATGGTGGGGACTGGTGAGGAAATTGTTGGAGGGTCCTGAGAGGGTGCAAGCCCCAGTAAGAATTTTAAAGGGGAAGGGCGTGTTTTATGTTTCTACCTATGAGGATATGCTTTCTCCACATCTCTGCCACGTTGCTGAGACCCAGTATGCTTTGGGATATGTTTGTCTAATTGATGACAACACAAAAGGAGAAGGGTTGGAAAGTTCAAAATAATATAATTGGCTATGATTTACTCAGCCACTGGGATAAGAAGGCTTAGACTTTCACTTTCAATTTCATTCAGTAAATGTATTGTAATCTGTATATGATTGAATTATCCTTTCCCATCACGTTGATGGGGAAAGTAATTACAATCCTGTAGGAATGGGGCACTAGCACCGTGTAAGAGATTTATGAGTTTCAGTAATCTATATCCCTAGGCAGAATGCCAGGGAGGCAAGGGGAGGTGACCGGGGGTGGGGGGGTGGGGGTGGCGAGAGGGGAGAGAACAGGGAAAGGGCCAGCTCTGCTGTAGACTGATCACGCAGATATGTAGGGGACTGGAACTGCCTCATTGTACATTGAGCATGCTCAATTGGTAGTGAGCGAATCTGCTCCACTGAAACCTGGGTGCACACATAGGGCAAGTAAGTTAGAGCAGCTTGGTCTTAGACTGCCACCTGGTGGTGTATGCAGATAATGCACCCCAAATAGACGTTCCAAACATGTCCCCTAGGAGGCACATGAAGTTTAAGTTGCCTTTGTTTGTGGGCACATATACTTTACCAAACAGTAGATTACTGTAGTCATTGACTACTGTGTCTTTCGTACCTAAACTATTCCACTGATCCACCACTCTATTGCACATGTACTTTATAAGTATAGTACTTTACTTTTATTGGCATTTTCTTCATCATCTTCATTATCATAGTGATTGTCATCATTTTTGCTATTGTTGTGATTCTTGGGTATGTATGCAAAAAGAAATGAGGAACTTAGCCAGTTATTTGACTGATCTGGTGCGTTTTGGCATGAGACAGCCAAACATGGAGGCCAAACTAATAACTTGGTTAAAATTATGGAAATTGTTCCTTCTCTCTTCAAATGAGTATCTTTATACATTAGAGTTTTGTTTTTTTTAGATACGTTTTTATTGATGTTTATTCCTATGTCAGTCATTTCTGGAAATATTCTCTCCCCACCCTACTCCAAACTGACCCTCCTTTCTAACAAAGAAAAATAGATAAGTAAAAATCCTGATCCAATACGGATGCCTGACGATGCCTACCACATTCTGCCCTACCAGTGCCCTGTTTTTCTGCTAAGAAGACAAAGGAATGCTTCTTCATCTGTTCTCCAAGGCAATTACTGGTTTTCCAGTTGACCAGTTTGGCTTCCTTTTAATGAGCTTTTCATTGACATTGTTATAATCAT